GCAGACATTTACCTATTTCACTGCAGAAACCAGCTTCACAGATGACAGCAGAAGTCATTAGCAACAACACTACCAGAGTCAGCCCTCCATGTTAAATTGCATAAGCATCTGCCCTGATTATTTGGTAATGCTTCTGTCTCCCAGCATAAGCACATGGTACCTGTATACTATATTTCATACTATATTGTATCAGAGAGTTGCTATATTAAATTTGCAAGATTAGGAAAGGCCTTATATTTGCTCCTTGTTGTAGTTAACCTGAACATAAGTCTACGTTCCTAGCAGCTTCTGTTTACCTGAAATCAGATACTACTCAGTCTTTGCCTAAAGTTCCCATCGGCATAAAGCATAATGGGATACACATTACATGCCTGAGACATGCTTTCAGACAAAAGAGGACAACACCAATTCCTGCCTAGGCTAAAAATTTGGTATTTCAGGTTTGCTTGCTACAGTCAATACAGCTAAGCATACAACTGTGAGATAGCACAAGTCACTGTGACAGATAAAAGGAGTAAGGTGGAAGAGGCCGTGCTCTCAGAGCAACCTCCATGCCTCCCCTGTACTCCAACTACAAAGTGGACAGAGCACAGTACAGAGACTCAGCAAACCCAGTATCTGATCGCCTCTCACTTACCAGGCAAAGTCAGTTATCTGCTTGTACTTGTCTATAAAGCAAGGATAAACAAAAATGACGTCCCCTTATAAAATACTTCAAATTCATAACTGAAAGTTCTATACAATGTGGGGAATGTGTGTGTTTGGGTTTTTGTTGTTGGGTTTGGTTTTTTGGGGTGGGATTTTTTTGGTGGTGGTAGCTGTTTTTCTTTAAACACTGCTGGCTCCTCTATCTGGAATAACATTGTTAAGAACTGATTACACATACAAGATCCAAACTGAGAAAAGATCATATGTACTTATTCTCTGATTGAAAACCATGCACTTCCCTGAAATCAGGTAGTATGCATCCACAGAGGACTGGACCCCGAAAACAGTTAAGCATTCTCCCTAACTTCAGTTTCAAGACACAGTAGTAAGAGAGTTCTCAGTAACTTCAGAGAGAAATGAAGTCCTACCACAGCATTATGCCTTACTACCAGCACAACACATCGCAGGGAAGCCCATCATGGCACAGCTACCTTTCACTCAGGGAATCATCACAAGCACACAGCCATCACGCTGTGAAGTTGGAGGCCAAGCAATTCAAAATCCCTGCTTATGTACCTATTGACAAGTTCTGAGGCCTCTCTCAGCCCTCATGAAACTGGTGAGTTATCAGCAAGTCCAACAGTGTGTTAATTTAGTTACTTAAAAGGAAGCAGCTGAGTCCTAAAGTTTGCCTGGGTCTGATTTAGACATGCCAACACTTAGGACATCCTCCTCCTCCTTCTAACTAGCATAATTTTTAATATGTGACTGTTCATTGTTCAAGAGCCACAGCTTCTCTTTATGATGCCCATTAAAAATGACAATGTACGACACCATGAATATGTTCCAATTAGGAAGGGGGGGGAAGCTAATAACTTTGCAGGGCTCTCTGAAGATCCAAACAACTGTTCTCATTTCACAGCTCACTGATTCTTTAGAAGCTACAGAAAGTCCTAGAAATAAAATGGCAATACTTATTAAATTGGCTCTGTCTCACAACCATTGAGTTTTTCTTATGCCCTAACATGAAAACAACCCTTAAGGATGATCAGCTTAGAAAAATGGAATAAGCAGTTCTGACCAGCTAAAAGATACTGCTCTTTTTTTTTTTAAACTCCTGAACTGCTCTTTACATCAGAGTTAGAAGAGAGTTTACAGCTTGCAAATTCACATCACTTCTGCTTGCCTACAGACACTACTTGGATAATCTGACTAGGACTTCCAGGAAGATGCACCTGTTACACAGGACAACCCAATGCATAACTGGTCACCTGCAAACACAAAATAAGTCTAATTCATGTGATGTCACAGCAACAAACTGTTCAGTAGCACTTAGGGTCAAAACCAGACTCTCTTGAGCTTCCTTGAAGCTCCAGAATCACAGCAAAGTCAGTCTGATTCCTTGGGAGGGTTGAGAGTAGTACAGCAAATAAATGCAGGAAACTTTTCCCCTACCACCGTTATAATGTCTACAGTTCCTTCATATTTTTATTTACAAAACAGAGCTACAACCCTCCTATGCTAATGTTTACACAATTTCTCTGTCAGAGCTACATGCCTTCTCTCCCACATTTTTTCTTCCACCAGCACTTAGAGACAACAACTCCTCAGAAATATTTATCTTAATTATCTTTAGTTTGTCTGATAGCTTCTTGCAGTTCTGGAAACTGATAATTCTAAGTGCAGATACTTCACTAACTTAGACTCGGCATTTTATTTTCAAGTTGAAGCACTGCTTATTTTTTAAAGAATCATGGGAAATTATCCCTCAAATTTAATTTATTTTGGCCTTAGCCAAAGGGTTTAATACAGTCAGAAGCAAGACGCTGAAAAAAAAGTTGTTCAGATTCAAAATAAAATATTTGAAGTTCAGAAGAGCCTACTCTGACATTTTTTGTCTTCCCTTTTTCTTCTCCCAATTACAGTCAGGGATCAGACATCAAAACAGCACCTCGAGCGAGGCTTAGCAATGCCCCTGCAAAGTTTTTATCTTGGCAAAAAACTAGTATTTCCAAAAGGATCTTAGACTAACAGGGGCTACTGTCTAGCTCCAGCTGACCTTAACCAGCCTCGATTTGTTCTGCCACCCATACTCAAAGAGCACTCTCAAACAGCCCTTCCAGCAGTGGCCCTGCACCCCCTCTCTGGGTCAGGGTAAGGCCAGGAGAAACTGTGCATCACCAGTTATGCAGCTTACAAATAAGCAGAAAATTATTGTCCCAGCAGCAGATCCTCATGTAGAGGCTAAGGCTGGTCCCGTGCTCCTCCGAGACCAGGGAAACTCTGCCTTGAGGAAGCAGGTGAGTGGGCTCATGGTGTCCCACCATGATAGCTGTGAGCAATGCTACAGGAGGAGCAAGCACTGCAGCTCTTGTAAGGAAAAGGAGCACCAGGGTAAAAGCACACTGTGATTTCAATCACCAGATTGTTCCTTTTTCCTCCCTTCCCTCAAGTTGCAAAAAAATAAAATATTCTATGTGATTTTATTAAGACAGAGGCTATTTTAGACTATAATACAGAATTACACCTTATAATACAACAAACATTATCTGGCTTGCCATTGATACAGCTCTCACATATACACACCACTCTGTACAGGTCAGTGGAACATCAAAATATCCCAAGGTTAGAAGTGGATATCAGCACAGCACCTCCCTTTAGCACACCCACGTTACTTTATTAGGTTAGTTCTCTGAGAGCCAGTGGCCACCTGGACTTGCATGTCTGCAGCTTATGTGAGCAGAAAAGAAACAAGGAAAAGGTAATATGTAGCACCAGACTTGGAGCATAGCTTCTGTTTGTTCAAATAAATCACCAGTGCACCTCAAACTGAGCCTGAGCACTCTACTACCACCTCCTTCAGTACACTGAGGAACTTTAAAAATGTGATCTCTGTTTTGCCTGTGGAATCCACAAGTCTTGTGTTATTTTTGCAGTAGAGCTCCTTAGTGCAGCAGTTAAAAATTGATCCATGTGTATTAGTCATTAGATAAGGAGAGCAGGCAGAAGAGACGGAGTTGGAGATTCATGAATTTCAGTCAGCAGGGGTTACTTTGTTTTCTACCTTGACTCCTGAATCACACAGCCCAATCACTTTTAATAAATTCCTCATTAAAAGCATGACTTCTGCTTGAGCCAGAGCCTGCATCTTTGAAATATCCAGTCTTTTTTCCTAAGTATCAAAAAATGATAGAAAACTCCACTCAACCAGATCATGTTTTATGTGGGAATAAGTTTTGTTCAGAAAGCTCTTTTTCCAACCTTCAAATGTCATTCTTTAAGTTTAGCCACATCACTTCTCAAATATTAAAAAAAAATGACTGTGATCATAAATCTTTCCAATCTAGATGATAGTAGCAGGCTTCATCTTACTTTGCTTTAAGTGTCTAACAGACAGTTATCTAAATCCAAGTTAGCTTTGTGTGCTCTCTTCTGCATCAGTAATAATAGAAAAGGTCCTTTTGGGGGAGATTCATCTGTTATCTTCAGACAGCATGAACTCTCTGAACATGCAAACTTCAAATCTTTTACTAAAAGCAAGCCTGGAAGACCATCTTAAGCTGAAATAGCTAATTATTAGATACCTAAAGCACAGTAGAGGGATCCTACCCCTGTTTACAATGCTCAGAACTCTTAATGTTCTGAGCATTTCAGTTCCTTTAGTCTCCCAATAAAAGAGTTTCCCGATCTAAAAAAACCCAACAACAACAAAAATTAGCTCTTCTCTGAAGCTCTGTACTAGGACTCATCTGTTCATATGTCCCAGAAGCAGACTTGGCTTTTTGACAAGAGGAACATGCTCAACACTCATATTTGTGGCACGATGGATGCTTTTGTTCTTGTCTAGAGTTTTCTGATGTACAGTCAAAATTTTAGCATCTGTTGCATCCGAACTGACCAAAACTAGTGGCAATAAAGCATTCCCACACAGCTGTTAATAACTTAGGTATTAAGAATTAAGAATCAGTATCACTGGTCATTGATACAGTCAATTTCTTAAATCTTACCCAAAAGACCTATTGGATTTCTAAACTAAAAAAAAACTGTGCAAAAGGAGTAGGACCATAGCTTAAGACAAATCCACTGGGATATGTGGTAAAGGGGCCCTACAGTATGAGAAAACAGCCTTTTCAGCTGTAATTGGTGTTAGTATTGTGGCTTCCTGGTTTTCAGCAATTAATCTCAAAAAGGACAGTGCTCTCATACCTTACCATTTATGGTTACAGAAAGCTTCATAATAGGGGAACTAAGAAGTTCAGCCACAGCAAAACAAACCCAGAGAAGTACAGGAAAGGAAAAAAAATAAAATAAAAATATCTTTCAGCTCTAAGTTCCACTACTATCCCAGCCCTGTCATTTAACAGAAGTTTTTTCCATCAGAAAAAGAAGCATTTCATCAAAAACAGTAAGTATATTTCTAAGCAACTGTTTTTCCTTGGGAGCATACAATAGCTTTGGGTTTTGAGAAGTATAGTGTTTTTGGAAGCAGCAATCTTTCTAAAACTGCAGCACTATGGAGGACAGTCCGGGTAGCCCACATGCTATAGAAAAGTTGTTTTTCTCTTTTGTAACTGGAATCTATCTGATAATTCTCTATAATTATTAGCAAAGGTAGCAGTAATTGTTTCATAAAGAACAGAATCTTAGAAGTCTGCAGCCCTTATAAGATGATAGCTTTTATTAATTTTAATGGTAAATATACCTTTACTCTTAGACATTTCATGGCATTGGATGTTCAGCATTCCTTTACAGTCTGTGCTTGCCTACCTCTAAGTTAGAGAGGAACCAAGCACTTGAACTCTTTCAAGCTTCCCTGAAATCTACCCTTAAATAGATTCATTCTGTGCAGCACTGTACTGCACAGAATCCAAAAGAAGCACTCCAGAAAAACTTCAGAACTGCTGAACTGAGTAACTTTTTTTTTTTTAAGAACCACTATGTTTAAAAGCTAACAGAATTACTCTTAAACAACTGCATAGGTTCTTCAACTAAAAAGCTAACTTCTTTAATTCACACTACTGTAACATCAGGTAAAGATTTCATTAATAAAGCAAAGTGATACAGCATATTTCATAAAATAAATGTAGTTGTATCCATTTCGCACGCAAAATATTTCTGCTTCAGGTTTCCAAAACAGCTGCATGAGTACATGGCAGAATCTTCTTTTCTGTGCACATTTCCATTGAGGTTCAGCATCACTTTATTCTGTAATGCCCACAGTATTTGTGGTGCCAGATGCACAGAATGCTTTCCAAGTGATGGGTTCTTACCTACTTGCAATGAACAAAACTGGCATTCCCTGACCCCAGCACCCCTGTTACCAGCAAGGATTGCATAGAAAGGCTAGAGTAGGAAATGGAGGGCGGAGAGAGGGGAAGCAAGCGCCAACACAAAAGTAGTTTTGACTTCAGGTCTGTTGCCCAGGGTGTAAGCAGTGGGTCAGTAGATGAGAAAAGGATGAGGGCAAGATTGAAACAGAAAGGAAGAGGAATCCAAGCAGTGTTAAAATACTTATGGACACAGGTAGGCAAGTGTGAGTGACCAAACTAAATCTACTCAGAGATGATAGTAAATATTAAGCTGTGCAGCTCTGCCACAGTAGCATAACCAATACAGAACTCATATTTATAGATCTAAAAAAACCTTAAGGTTGCCTTCTGGTTCCCACACAAAGTACCTGGCCAAATAAACTGGTGATGAATACTATGCTCCTCTTACATACCCAAAGCCAGCAATTTTATTGTTGTTAACACAAAGTGTTTTGAGAATAAAACAAGGTAACCATTAAGTTAGCTCTTGATAGGGGAAAGCAAGTGGCTATTTTGTATGCAGAGGCAGTAGAGATCTAAGAGCCAGGCTTATTTAAAATCTTGCCATTGCTTTAGACATGCAGATAACTTGCATCACTTTTCTTGGTGTGATGTAGTATTAGCACTTGATGCTCATCTGAAAGCAATATAAATGCTCACTGAAAATTCACCATATAGTATAGGATAAACCACCTCAAAAAACTCAAGTAGCTCACTGTTAATATTTATTCCAACTACAATTTGAGAGAAGGGTTTATCACCCTTTTTTCAGCAAGCGAGATGAATTCATCAGTGCTACCGATACTGCCATACTCAAGTTAAGAGCAGCCTGGAATAGCCCGAGAGAGAGGTTCCACACAAAATCACGGAGGCCACAGCACTGAAACTCCTTGAGAGATGGAGGAGGCGGCAGAGACTTCCCATCGAGTATCCAACACGTCTACTAATCAAAACAGGGGACTCTGTTCCAAACCTGAGCAGATGGCATCCGTAGGATTATCACCAGCAGCTGTCAATGCAGTGATTATACATTGAAATTGCACAGCAAATGTACTGTATAATTTAACTAGACTGAAGAAGAAGATTAGGGAGAGGGAACATTATGAAAAGATTTGGAGGTTATATTTTCCTAATAATTATGGAGGCACCCCACAATCTTCACTGCAACAGATATATTTAGCTTCGCTCTTCAAGGCTGGACTAAAACCCATGTCATACACTTCAACATCTTCCAATTCAAATACGCTCAGAGACTTCCTGGGCCAATCCAGTCCTCTGCAGTGCTTCATTTTTCAAAGATTTAATGTGTCAGAGGAAACACTTAATTAGCTCTTTCAACATTCCTCCTAATATATATTGACAGAGCTTAAGAGACAGAAAAGAATAATTTTTAATCTGAAGAAAAAAAATTAACCTTTTAAACAATTGGGAAATTCCAAATAAATGTTTTTCCGTGTGCATGCAGCATTCCTTTGTCTCGAGATCCAGAAGATGCAGGATTTTCAGCACAAGAACATAAGAATATTGATAGATGAAAGGAAAAAACGCACATAGGGTTTCCTTCACTGACTTGGCTTTCCTCTTCTGCACAGGCATGAAATAGCATTACAGATTTTCCTGGTCTTCTAAATTTTAAAGCATAAAAAACCCACAGCAGGAAGTATGTATTTCAGTTTTAGGGGCCACATTTACAGCTAATCTGGTGCAGCCACACAACAGTGACATGTGCATCTCTGATTTACTCCATCTGAAGACCTAGCCAGTTATTTTTTATGTTTATAGAAGCACTCAGTGAGATATTTTTAGACCAATCTTTCTTGTTAACATTCTCTGCATAATTCATATGTCCTTATTCGCTTTGGGGAGGAGCAGACATCTGAACTGGGGGAGCAGAGGCAAGGAGGATCACCCAGCAGCCCATGCAGAGAACCAGAGTCAGGCAGCCCAGCTGGTGTCAGGGTGGGGAACAACACTGCACATAATGCTGAGGAAACCTCTTGGCCACTTGTGAAAATTTCCAGTTGACACAAATGAATTCCTTATGTGTCTTAAGGAGGTAGTCTGGCAATTTAAGATGATTTAAGGAAGGATGAGTTTACTGATACTTCTGCTGCATATATGGCTGACATTCAAGCAGACTGATGGGGCAGTTACATTTCTTATTAATTCTTTGATTAATAGTCCCACAGTTCTTGTTTTCCATGTAACAAGGGGTCTGATTACCCCAGTGTTTCTCAGCATGACTGGGACAGCTACGTAAACATTATGATTGAGCTAAAACTCAAGATATTAACAGTACAGGCCAACTAGAAGCTTTCCACAAGCCATGGTGGCAGTACCAATCTTTCGCTTTTCCATTTTCCCACAGAACTAATTAAGGATTAATCACTGTTACTGTATGTAAGAATTTCTCGCTAACAACACAGGTTTTCACTTGCCTATTGTTAGCTTCCCAGTGTGTTATGAGGAACTGCCAACTCAGGTACCACACGGTCTCAGGGCTTGTGCTCCAGGACCAAGGATGTTCCTTTATGTCATTTTCCCCTCTGACCAAGCTGCACAACAGGTAAAGGAGGGTCAGTCTAGTGTCATTTGGTCTTAAGGTGCTGTGTTGTACAGCGTTTCATTATTTAAAATATTTCTGAATTCTTTGTTTTTGAAAATAATGTTTCCACTTTCCCCCCACAGAACTAGAAGTTAGAACAGAAGTTTCCAAGGAACAGTCACTAACAACATTTACCCAAGTTTCCTTGAGGGGTGCACGTGCCTCTGTGCAGGGTTATACACAAGCCTGCAGGCATGGCGTGAGCACGCTGACAGTGCTTGATGCCAGATGTTCTATTTATAGACCCATAGACTTAGAAAAACACAATACAGCCTCATTTAAGGGCATTAGCGCACATTCTGTATTAAAGTCAAACGTCAGTAAGTGGGTAAGGCTCATCCTATGGCAATTTCCAGCTTAAGATGCTTCCTACAGTGCCAGTGAATTATATATGATCATCAGAAAAACAACTCCCTTCAAAATGTTCTATACAATATTCACAGTGGATATTGATATTTTATTTAAAGTGGAATTAAATTTGGAACTGGATAAAATTCGGTATTCCAGCAACAATCTTTTGCTAATAGGGACACCTCAGAACAGCCTTTCATTTTGATATTCTATACTATCAACTTCAAATTATATATTTAAACAATTCTGTAACTAGCTCCAAGTTATGCTAAACAACCAAAGCTCTTTTACTGTCCATATGCTTCTATATTTTTGGTAATAACAATATTCAGGTGTTACAGTAGTCTAAAACCAGTAGCATTTCAATGTTCAAATACTTTTTTCCTTTGATCATTAAGCAAAATAAGGCATTTTTACCAGTGAAAGCCAGAACTAATAGGAAAGAAAGAATGTGAATATAATCTGAGTGTTGCTTTCGAGAGCTGATAGTGTCTTTATCTTGTCTTTTGCCAAACTCAGTGTTCTGCCCCACCCCCAGAAACACCACAACTCTGCCAGCCTATAGCTTATTCACTAACTTTGGCTTATGTTTGTCTTATACTGTATCAAAACTTAAGTCTTAGTATTTCCTCTGTTGCTTAGCTGAACACAGGTGGATTTAGGCAGGGACCATACCATCCTGAAGGCAGTCGGTAAGGATAAACGCTAAATAGTTGCACACACCTGAAGCTGAAATCCTGAAAACACCAGCTGCTGCATGAAGCTGTGCACCATTGTCTCACACGTGACAACTGAAACCTCTTCGGCACATATGTAACATATTTTCTCTTTCTCCTTCTGCTCTCCTTTCTTCCTTTCTCCCAAAAAACCCCACACAAATCTTGACAGTCTCATCATTTGCCACAACTATATCTTGCACCACGTTTTCGTGAAAAAACAAAACCCCAGAAACCTTCAGTTACAGCTGTTAGTGCAACAGATACTGGTGATGGGTTGAGCTCTCAGCAACTGTTATGGCTCATTTATCTATTAATCCTATATATCAGTCATGCTGACTTAATGGCATATGGCTTCACAGCAATCTTTATCAAAGAATTAGCAAGATAATTTAAAATGCTACTTGGCAAAAGATTGGAAGGGGGGGAAATGCCAGTCACTCCCAAGCTCAGGTTTGGACAGCTCTGCCTGAGAGTTCCCCCAGTGTTACACCAACACTTCACAGGTTGCACTCTCCCACTTGTGCCAGCAGCAGTCCCGACCCAGTGCTCACAGTGAAGCAATAGCAGTTCTAACTGCTGTGTTTTATAATCCTGTCCAATTGTGTTTGGTGGCAACATACTACTTCCGTCTAGAAAACGCAGCTTTTCTCCACTATTTGGTTGGACATCAAGTTTTGAGCATCCCTGAATGGACAAGGCCAAACAACAAATAAGCAGAAGTCAGAACTGGGCATCTCAAATGTTAAATTTTAAATCATTTCACGTCTTTTGAAATAAGACAACCACATTTCAGACTAACCCAGAAGAAAATGTGTAATGTAAAAAGGATTGTACTGTGGTAGGATTTTCCCTTCATGCAGCCTTTACCAATGCACAACGCAGTATCTCTTACTTCAAAGAAGCAGCAACATAAAATAGACCGAATTAAGGCTGAGGACAATCAGGCTGTTAACAGAACTCTCCCCAAAAGTAATCAGGTTTTTCTACCCCATGTCCTAGCCTACACACACACACTTTTTAAAGTACTATATGGTAAATATAAGAAAGTAGAAAAAGGAGTCTACAGATAACAAAAACCACAGTAACTTGTTTTTGAATTCTATTTTTTGCAAAAATAGGACTGTTCCTCCATGGGATACATTATATTTCAGAAACGTGTTCCACAACTGCGATACCTGTAGCCAATCATAGTCATGCTTTCCCTCTCCTTTCTGTATTTTCTTTTATACCAGAAAGAGATTGTTCAGATTTCACAACTCTAAATGATGTTGGGAAAAAAGTTGGTGACTGCACAGAAGCGAGGGGAGACAAGAGCCCTGTGCCTGGGACTGGGAATGGTCGCATGTTCCATGATGATGTACTTTTTTATTGGGATCACCATTGTGCCATTCTACACTCGAAGGTAATAACAGTCATTTATTTATGAATTCAGACCCACGTCAGCAAAAACAATTAGTGAAACAGTGCCAAAATATATGTTATTGTGTTGTACAATAAACAAACAATATGTTCTTGAAGAGCTCATAAGAATTTAAGACAGAAGAAAAGAGAAAGAAAAAAGTGAATGAAGAAGCCATCAGGCATTTACGGGTAAAGCACAAGAAAGAGGGAATAATCATCCTCAGGGCTAGAATGAGAACAGACTAAACCAAAGCGTTTACGATGAAAACTTGTAAAAAAACCCACCAAGCATGCTTATCAAATCTTGATAATAGAAAGCTAAGCCAAAGCAAAGAAAAAAAATCATCTTTTTCATGCGCAGGAGGATGTGTTGTTTTTAATAAAACTATAAAAACTTAAGCAACAGAAGTCATGGTAAAATTGTTCAGCCGAGAATCTGTATCTTACTTTCAAATCAACAATCATGAGAAACTAGCACCTTCAACAGCCCAGCATACCCTAGCAAATGTTGCAGAATACAATGAATGCTGAAGAAGTTACTGTTACCCACATTTTTATTATTTCATTTTGCAAGTTCTGCCTCCACACAGAAAATCAATTTGCAAAAAAAACAAAGAAAAAGAGTGCAACTCAGTTTAAAATGCTTGAAGATTTTGATGGAGAAAGCGAGTACATCCACCTCATTCTTCTTGCTAAGAGCACCTTTAAGCTCAAAAATGTTTGTTTTAAAGATGATGTTTTTCAGAGTAATTCACATTCATTTTATGTATTTTCCAGCCTCCTGATTACATTACAAAAGACAATAGCTTGTAAAAAGATGAGTTTCTTAAGATCTGGAGTGAGATTATTTCTTCACTTTTTTGCTACCACAGTGTACTGCTGTAAGCAAAAGCTTACTGTGTTATCAGTAATAAAAGAGTAACTTTTGAGAAAAAGTGATAAGTAACAACAAAAAGTGAATTTTTGCCAGACAAAATCCTTCTTATTCATGCAAAAGGTCCATGTAATAAAGAAAAGGAGAGAAGGGAGGGAAACATGTGGGAACTGATCCGAGTTCTGAGAATTATCAAATGAAAATAGTAGAAATATTTCTGAGAGATCAAAAGCTCCACTATGCTCAGTCAGATTCCAGATAAGGTCAAGCTTTGCCAATGTACTGCACTTCCAAATATTTACTACCAAACATTAAAATCCATGGCAATTTTTCTTTCTTGAACAACACTTGAGGCTGATTAGAGATGGGGTTAGAATCTAATTTCAAACCACAGAATGTTTAACAAACAACCAATTTTCTTGCACTGCTTGCCTATGGCAGCCCTTCTCCAGGCTCAGCCATCAATTCGGGGTGTGCAAAGTGCACCTCGATTGAGCAGCCATGAACTCTACCCATGCTCCCATCCACAGCTGGCACACACAGATGCACCTCCAGCACACGACTCATAACAGACGCTGCTAACACATTTAAAAGCAATGCTTTTTGTTTTGTTTTTGTAGTGTTTGGACAGCAGAAACTGTGTGCAAGGTACTCAAAGCCAACATCAAGGACAAAGTTCTCAGCCCAAACAGCGAAGGCTCAGAGGATGAGGATATCTTTCCTTACCCATGTCTACAGGTGTGGGTTAATCTGACAGCCTCAGGACAAGAGGTTATGCTGTATCAAACTGAAGATACACTGGAAAGAAATTCTAAGGTACTTGCAACACAGATTGAATAATAGCTCTCTGCTGCTATCTAATGCCTTTGAGGAGAAGGGGTGATTGTTTCTAAACCAAGCAGCTGAGTAAGAGTAGGAGTTGTTCATCTTTCATGTGTTAATGTCTGTGCTTAGACCAAGGCACTTTTTAAATATTCCAGAAGTTACACAGTTTTGGATTTTGTTTTAAATGTTACATCAAACATTAAGTTAATATTTGTTAAGCAATCACACCAACTGAACATTTAACATATAAATATAAAATATACATATAAGACATGCACATTTTAGAAAGGAGAAACAAATCAATAATTTTGCCAGACGATCGCCCAGAAATCTCATTTGTCTTTGGTTTTGTCTGGAACTGTTTCTGGTCAGCATGGCAGCAGAAGCCTGGACTCATGGAGAAGGCACTGGCACTGTAGGAAGCACCGGTGTAGAGCAGAGGTGCTGGGTATTGTGGTAGAGGTCCCTTGGTCAGTCTTTTTAGGGATCTGTTTCCTAGAAGATGAGTGCAGACCATGGGTGGGACAGAAACATGGGTGCACAGTATTAATTTGGCTTTATAGATGTGTGAAAGATTGGGGAAGGGAAGTAGGGTGTTATCCTTCTATTTCTGCCAGCATTTCTGCTTGGGAATCAGCAAACAGCTCAATGTTTTTAGACTTGCTCCCTCACAACCAGAAGTGCTCCTACAGGTACACTGTCCCAGGGAAGGTCAGGTTAACTTCAGTTCCAAAACCACGAGTATTTCAGAGGCCTTACTTCAGCTCAGCACTCTCAAAGGTGACAAAGTGAAATTCAGATCCTGGATGACCAAGACTGGAGCACTTTCACAATCCAAACCAAACATGCTTAGACTACAAGTGTTCATCATCTTAAAGAAATTATATACATTAGAGTTTCACACCGCAAACCTGATGAAATAAAACACTTCAGCTGAAGAGAATTTTGCTAGCTCATGACTATCTTTATAGTGACTGTCTCAAGGAAAGCTACATACAATGAAGTGGCAAAGCAGAAATTATCTACTGTAGATTGAAACGAAAAGAGTCTAGTTCACTGCAAGAGGAGGTGATTTGCTGATTTCCTACCTACTGTTTGCGTTACTGCAAGTACAAGCCTTCAGAGGTCAGGAACCATCCCCTTTCTGCCTTGGCCAGTTTCCAGCTTAAGACACCTCAGCATTATGATGTATGCAAAATATCATTGCAGAAAATAAAGTGTTAAGAACAACAATGAAAATGAGTGCTTCAAAGTCTAATAGTATTTCCACTGAAAACTAAATATCTTATTACTACAGGTCAAAATAGTTCTGTGTTACAAGGACAAGTAGGAAGCCTCCAACAGCCATACTTTCCTGTTGTTCTACTAGTTACAACCAGAGGTGCGCAGTGAAGCACCGTTGTGTTTCAGCACACTAACAAGCCAGTTCTGAATTTCTGCAGAACTAACACATTTCTGCTGTGGTGGTGCCTAGAAGCTCAGTTAGGAATATGAGCATGGCACTGTAATAATAAAGTGACAGTCCCAAAGACTGCAGTTTTATTTTGAGCACATATGTATTATTAGTTGCCAACAACACTCCAACCTGTAAACCTATGGCCTGGGGACACAGACACACTGACAGAAATAGGAAGCATGGCAAGTCGGTTACGGACGTAAGGAAACCAAGATGATCTCCAGGGATACTAGTCAAACCACAGAAAATTTTGAGTAAAACATACATGCTAGTATTGACAATCTGACTTAACTACAAATCCTGTATTAGGGTATCTGTTGTAATGAATCACTTTCATTTCTTATTCTAGTGCTCGTACGTCCCAGGCAAGTCGGAGAACTCTAAAGAAGTTAAAGCACGAATAGAAACAATTGCAAGCAATTTCAAAAAATACCAGACTTTCCCGTGCTACTATGACCCAGGAGGAACACAGACCAATGTCATTTTAAGCAGACTTTATCCCCCAAAAGGCCTCCTCTTTGCTTTCCTTTGGCCTACACTCATGTTTACTGGTGGATGTCTGATTATTGTTCTGGTAAAAATTAGTCAGTATGTTTCCGTTCTTTCTGCTTGGCAGTAAAAAATAAATAGTACAGACTGTTGCAACATATTCAAGTGCCTTTGTTCTGCCTGTCTTTACCTGTATTTTGTGACTTTTAATATACCAGGTGTCAATGCAAGGGCAGGCATTCCAAAAAACTGAATAGCACCCACTATGGATGGCAATCCGTTACAAAATATAAAATTGATTCCCAGGAAAATACCTCATAGGAACACAGACCGAGTTACTATCTGTTGTTGTTTCCTTTGGTTTTCTGAAGTACAGTTGCTTTACAGAGCTATGATTCAAGTTTAATACTAAACTCTTGTTCCACATTTTAGAGAGGGTCCTAATTTTCTGGCTGGTTGAAACCAGTTAGTGCCAGATCCATATACATCATTACTGGTAGACACACACTTTAGATACTTCATTAATGATACAGGATGTATTCATGGCATACTCGTCTCTCGAGAAAAGAAGGTGTTTTTTATGGTCCAAAAAGATATTTGTATTAATGAATCTCTCTGCTTTTGGGGAAGGGGAGGGGAAAAACCACCCGAAAACAAAATATACACACAGACATTACAAAGTTTGCACTCTAAACATCTAACACCAACTGTATATAATGAAATACATGAAATACAAGGTACGGTAAAGAAACTTATATTGGAAGTAAGTTTTTGTATTTGACTCAAATCTTAGCTTTACTTTGAAACAAGCGTACCACTCAAGGAAGGCTACCTGCCTGCTATTTAGATATATTATAAAACTGTTAAGGAAAAGGAGTCATGATATAAAGAATATGATTATATAGTAGAAGACATCCATATCATCTTACTAAATACAGTAATCTAACATTTTACTAAATACAGTACTCTAACATAACCACAGAAGTTTGCATGGGTAGCAAAGATAGTTCACAATAGAGGCATGTTTGTTTCTAGCACCAAGACTCTTCTTCGGAATGCTCTGATGCACATACAGACACATTTTCTGTTTTCTGAAAACAGCCCTGTTTCTCTCAGCCAATTTTCGTATTGCTACTGGACACAGAAGGAACATAAGATACTTCCTGCATGCTGTATTTGACTAGCACTTGGAATACAACTAGTACAAGCTTTTTCATCACAAAGCTGATGAATCACTTAGTAGCTATCATTCACAGGAAAATTTCAGGGCTTACATACAAATTTAAGGCTGAACAACCCCAACTCTCTCAGCCTGTCCCCACAGCAGAGGTGCTGCAGCCTGCTGATCAGCTTCGTGGCCTCCTCTGGACTCGCTCCAACAGCTCCATGTCTGTCTTGTACTGGAGACCCCAGAGCTGGACGCAGTACTCCAGGTGGGGTCTCATGAGAGCAGAGTAGAGGGGGAGAATCCCCTCGCTCAACCTGTTGGTCACTCTGCTTTTGATGCAGCCCAGGACACGGTTGGCTTTCTGGGCTGCAAGCGCACATTGCTGGCTCATGTTGAGCTTCTCATCAACCAACACCCCCAAGTATTTCTCCTCAGGTTGCTCTCAATCCATTCTCTGTGCAGCTTGTAGTTGTGCTTGCAATTGTCCCGACCCATGTGCAGGACCTTACACTTGGCCATGTTGAACTCCACGCGGCTCGCACGGGCCCACCTCTCCAGCCTGTCAAGGTCCCTCTGGATCGCACCCCTTCCCTCCAGTGTGTCGACCACAGCACACAGCTTGGTGTCATCAGCAAACTTGCTGAGGGTGCACTCGATCTCACCACCCATGTCACTGACAAACATGTTAAACAATGCTGGTCCCAGTACTGACCTCTGAGGAATGCCACTCATCACTAGTTTCCACTTAGACATCAAGTCGTTGACCGCAACTCTAAGTGTGACCATCCAGCCAATTCCTTATCCACCTAGTGGTCCAGCCGTTAAATCCATGTTTCTCCAATTTAGAGACAAAGATGTCATGTGGGACAGTTAAGATTTGCCCATATACACAGTGCTGGTTATGTTCTACAGTTCTGAGGAAGTTTAACATTAAAGTCATAGATATTCTTTTTCCTTCACACTCACTGTCTTTTTAAGTTGAAACTAGGTGTTTTAACAGTGTGCCAGGTTGCTGTATTACTATTGAACTTTTGTAAACATTTTTCTATTCTTATTCCATCAGCAAAAGTTGTAATTCATTACAGAGTGAAGTTTTAATAACACTCTCTATGCTTCTTACAGCACCACCCAAGGAAGCTATATACCTTTTAGGGAGGTTTAGTTGTTTGGCGTTGGTTTTTGGTTTTTTCTTTTTTAATATTACTAGATTATACCATCAAGTCTACAATAAATCTCGTAAATAAAATGCTATTTTTCTGAGATCCAGCAAAACACTTCCTTTAAGAAGTGCTTCAATACAAGCAGTGACCATTGCAGTGACAGATGTACACAACTCACTTTCTCAAGGCAATGTAGATAATTCTCTTCCTGCCAGGGAAGTGGCAGTACAAGGAGCTGGAGATTAAATTCATACTTGAAATCTGTTTGACTACAAATAGCCATCACCAGCATTGATGCTTAGACCACAGTAATAGTGCTTGAGTTGACTGGAATGTGCAAGGAACACAGGAAGAATGGGGATAGATTTTAAACTTAGATAGATTAATTTTACTTTAGTTGTGCAGGCTCTCTATCTATCTATATGAATAATATTGTTTTGTTGAACCTATTAAAAACCCTATTTTTCAAGTGCTGGGCACAGACTCTCAGGAGTAGTTTTTCTTCTTGATGCCAAATAAGGATTGGATACGATGACTCTACTGTTGGAAGATGAAAAAGAACAAAAGCTCCAGCACTATTCTTGAGGGAGCTAGCATTTCTCCTAGGCAAAAAAAACAACCCACAATTGCAAAAGGTTGTAAAATGAAGCTTATCTCATAACTAGGAAGCTGGTTTATTGGGTGAGGTAGATTCAGCTTTCATGAGCTTTTAATAAGGTCACCATTCTCCAACTTTGATGAGGCAGCAACAATGGCAGCTTAAGAGGAACCTCTGGGATACTGATTCACTAAGAAGCCATCCATGAGTCACCAGCGTGTTCTTCATGTACAAAAACAATAGCAGGTACCTTCTGGCTACTCCTGACAATTCTGATTCAAGTATCCTGCTAACTGGTGCTGCTTTTATTACCTGATCCTCAAAGCAGCAACAGGGCAGTTAACATAGAGAAGAATCTGCTCTCCAAAGATTTCTCACTCATTGCATAAACCCACTGCATTTGACAACAAAATATGTTCCAACTGAGTAACTGGTACGTCTTTGGTTGGTTGGATGTTTTTTGTTGTTCTGTGGCTTTTTTTTTTAAATTAAAAAAAAAAAAGCAACTTAACAAAACCAATTTAGGGTTTTTAGCATATTTACTATTCAGAAGCCGTACAAAACAATTCAGGTATTTTACTTTTGGTTATTTTCATAACAGAAAAAATAGCATTTAGGGTTAACTGGATGATTCCAACTTTACAAGCTAGCTTGAAGTTATAATTATTTTTCTGAATTAAAATATTTTCTAAGTATTGAGGGGGCTATCCTTTGTTTACAATAAAAAGGGTTGGTGGCTGGCGCAAAGGGCGTAAGCCAGCCATACAAACCCCATACAGGAAACAAGTTTTGTGTATAAGCACATAGCTGTTCTCGATCAGAATTTAAAATTAGGAATCACCTCAGAAGTTCCAGGGCACAAGGGGAACATCATAGGATCTGCAAAATGCTCTTCCCCCCCCCCCCAAAATATTTGTAAACAATAAAAAGGCTAAGAATGCATGTAGGGGTTTTTTGTTGTTCTTCAGTTCTCCTGGAGCAAGGTTTCTTTTACTGTGCTGTGATAAGAATTGTCAGCTTTGATGAATATAAGTTATATTGTGGAGCTGCAATATTAGATGTTTTTCTCCTTATTGACCCCAATTCTCCACGCTCTCAAGAGCATTAACAGAAAGGAAAAAGATAGCAGACAGTGGTGGCTGTACTCAACTTCCAGTAAAATAGTCAGTGAAATACAGATTTTAAAAGTGTCTATTTATTATTACACTCCACTAGAAGAAATAGCAATAAAAAAAAAAAATCTTGTCAAAGTTGAAGGACTGACAAGCTGTTCTTTCTAAGTTTCCTAAAAATATCTATACGTCTCTTAAGTAAATGCAAGTAGTCTCATTACACCATGCACTTCTTTCCCTAATCCAACATTTGCACAGAAATTAAGCTGTCATACAGGTAAAAACATTCACACACTGCCATACCCAAACCAGCACAGGTATGTTCCCTTTCCTCTTTGATCACATACCTCTATCTATAATAAATCCAAAAATCTGATGTTATGTTTACTAGATATGTGTTACTGTAACTGGCTTATCTAGGAAAGTCAACTTTTTAAAGATGTACTTTCTACTTCTTACCTCTTATAATTCCAGGCAGATTTTCAGAAAGTCTCAGCATGCTGAACAAATTATTCTGCATTCAGCACCAAGAGCAAGTAGAGAGAGCACCTGAAAATACTTCAACTTTAGCAAAAAGATAACATGCGATTAATATTAACAGATGGGGGCAGGGGAGAAAGTTGTTTGCAAGGGTCCATCTCTTTCATAAAGTATTTGTACTACACTTGGGACGAGACGACCTGAATGAAGTAAATATAGGCTGTTTAATCCAATCAAACTCAAGGTCATTCTTATATAAACTCTCTGAATAGTCTTTAAGTAATTTCATTCCTATGCTTTAAAGTTTAATGAGACAGTACAATGTATTAAAGAGGTGTCTCAAAAAACGCTCAAAGATAGATGTTGAGCAAAAAAATCACGTTTGATTCTACATAATTCTCTCTCTTCTGGAACATTTCAAAACATTGGACGTGCTTATTTGTAAAGTAAATAAAGATAGATATCTTGACTTCTTTTTGGAGACTACTTTTGATAATCACCTGACCCCTAAGTCAACAGGACTGTCAGCCTCGGCAACCTGAAACCATAGGACCAGACTTTAAGCCTAGTCTACAGAAAATAATTACCACCTCTTGGCTCATGAAATAGTTGCAATGAACAAATGCCTCCAATTATTCATTCTTATGCTATATAGATTGACATAA